AAAAAACTTGGCCTTTTGTGTTTTCCCAGATGGGAATGGGAGGACATGAGTCATGACTAATTGATAAAAGTTCTCCAATTCTTTTTTTTTTTTTTTTATTTTTTTTTTTTTTTTTTTTTCAGAACCATGGATTGAACTGAAGCCCTTGTGCTTGCCAGGAAAGCACTTATTCCACTAAGCCATCTCCCCAGCCCCTGCAATTTCTTTTAATTTGGTTTCCTGTGGGCAACATATCCAATCCTGGCTGTAACACTACCACTAGTCATTGAATTATGGCTGGCATTTTCCTTTATATGCATTGGCACTAAGATTTTGAATGTGACATGAGAACCTTCAGCTTTCAACTTCATATGAAAAGAATTTAAATTCTACTAGGAATATGAGCCATTGTGATAGGTTAAAAATGACAATGTCATAGTATAGATACAACATGCCTATTCAGTTGAAATTCATTTGAAAAAGAAATATGATTATAAGTGATTTGGGAAAATTAGGAAAACTATCCTGTGGGACAAGGTACTATATCATAAGCTACTTCTATTAGAAACAAAACCAGAGATGATAAATGAAGTATGTGTAGTCTATGCTAGTTGAAAGGCAATTTCAGAAAATGATGGCAGGTGAAGGGAAAAGGGAAGAAAGTCAACAAATGACATATCTGAAACAAGTTATTACTGTAGACAACAGATGCTCAATTCCACTGAGAACTCCAAGGGGCAGTGTGAAACGTGCTGAGCACCCACCATCTCAAATCTGTCACCTTTGCATACATATTGTCCCAACCCCTACAAGGGTGGGAGCTGGGTTGTACCCTCCTAAACCAACCTTCCATGACAGTAGCTGCTTCAGGCTGTATTATCTCTATATTTTCTAGTTTTCTCCCATCCAGCTGCAAAGTAGCAAACACCCAAAGTAATCAGTAGTGTGAGCTTGGAATGTTCTGGAATGATGCCTGCTGAGGATTATGGACCAGGCACCAAGAGCACCAGTGGTAACATTTGACCTGTGGCCACCATGGAAACAAAAGTTGTCTTTTTTGAGTCAATGTGCCAGTAAAGTGTGGAGTTCAGAGGAAGATGGAAAGAGGAGATACAGAGAGGTATCTTGTAGGGTCTAGTGCAGTGCTACACTAGGAATGCTTCACAGGGGCAGACGTTCTACATAAAGAGAAGAGGCAAATTTTCTGAAGAAATGTTAACTGAACTGAGCATGGAAGGGTAAGATCAGGCATAAGCTCTTTGTTTTTATTGTGTGTTATGGGGCAGGATACAAAGAAAGATACAGCAGGATAAAGCCAAAACATTTGAGGCAAATGAGAACATGGTACACTGAAAAACAAAGGCAGTTTGGCAGGAGTTAGGTGGAATATGGGTATGATGATGCTGAAGATTGAAGAAAGTGTAGAAACAGTCAAAGACAGGTTAATAAGAGCTCACCTGAGAACCTGGGAACCTGGTGCAATCAAGTATCCTGCTCAAATAAGGGATCACCTTGATCTGGTCTATACTCCATGTTATCAGCAAATCTTAAAGGAGTGTCTGTAGCTTCACTAGGAACTTCAGGTGGTATATCCACAGCTAGGTGAGATACATGACTTCACCTTACCACTCAGGTTCCCTGTCATCATTCCAGGTGAGAAGCTCCTGTATCCTTTAGTATGTATTTGGTCATAAAGAAGCCATGGTTCAAATTGAGTTAAACATAAAGGACATTTATCTCCAATAGAATGCTTATGACCAGGCTCAGTCATAAGGCATTTGGAAATTTCTCTTCTGTTTTCTCGACTCCTTCCTCCACTCCATCAGCATGGCTTTCTTCAGGGTCATTGCACAGAATGCCAGGAATACTTGTGGCCAGGTACTAGTTTGCCCTCGTGGAAGGATGATAATCTATCTTCTTAACTATAGGTTATGTGCTCTTCTTTTTAGTCTTAATGGACCAAAACTTACACATTAAGCTGACCTCTGGATGAGTGATGGTTACTGTGAGAATTTCCAGAGACGACTGGCTTAATCTTAAAATTCTGTCATCATTAAGAAGTAATACACTTGGCTCAGAGTCATGGTAGCCATGCCTAGAGGAAGATAATTATAGGTACAGAGTTGAGCCTTGGCAAAATAATCATTTGAAGGAAAAGAGTGTAAACTTTGTGCCGAGTCAACCATCAAATAAATGCACTCCATTACTAATTATATCCATTCTTCAAAATGGACACAGAAAAGGTAAGTTGAATAATTTATAAGTTTTAAAGCATAGCTTTTCTTGAAAATGTTCATCTGAGGGAGCCCTATACTGCAGTTATAAATAGGCTTTGTAACTGAACACCTTGGTCTAAACCTAGCCTCCATTATTCACCAGATTTCTGATTTTAGGCAGCTGACTTAAATTCTTTGCTATTATTGTTATTGTTATTCCAATAGTGGAGAGGCTTATAATCATCCCTACCACAAAGGGAGGTGGTAGATCCGGATCTGGCGTGATGGTGATAGAAATCAGGATTGTGGTGTCTTCATGGTAAGAATGCACTACATCTAAAATCATTACCTCTTTGTTTAGTACACAAACCTTTCCTGCCAATTATGATAGGATACAGCTTGAACTTGAGATGCAATAAGGGATATCTGTCTTAAAGATATCTTTGGGAATTGTTAAAACTGATGTGAATTTAAAATGATTCTTGCTAAATGTCCAGTGTCAAATCAAGGCTTAAAAATGCAGTGAAGGTATTAAAAAGTGCTTTCCTGATATGAAACATAATCAGAATATTAGAGTTTCCAAGTATAGACAATGTTGAGCCCTTTTGAGGAACAGATGGATTTAAATAGGAATGAATGAAGTGATAACCAAGGTATAATTAGTGAGAAGGCATAATGACACTGTTATTAGACTGGGATACATAGAATTAGAGCAGTCTCCGAACACCTTTCTTGAATTGCCCAGAAATCATTATAGGAGATGGGGGCTGGGGGAGCCAGGAGAGCTACTGGTTTCATAAGGATGATTCCACTGCTTATGCCAAGACACATTCAGCCTTTCTGTAGTTTTGCAAATCTCTCTCTTGGGAGAGAAAGAAGATAATTTTCAAGGCAGCTAAGCTCACATTACTACTAAACTGAAAATGAAAATAATGGAATAGTTTTTATATTCCCTTTCACATTCATCTATAATAAATCACAAAACCATAGCATTTTTACATTTATCACATATACAATCTCTTTCCCTCTAATATACATAGTTCGGTGTTTAAATACTAGAAAGAGATTCATTGTTTAGTATTTGGGAAAAAGCAGTGTCAATAGACAACAAAGAATCACACCTGTGGCTTCCGGCGGACACATACTTTTGGGATTGTTGGGCAAGAGGAGAGTGTCCAGATAAGAGAGTTACAGGAAAACAACAACAACAACAACAACAACAACAACAACAACAACAACAAAAACCCATCTTCCCTTATATCATTCAGCCTTGTGCCGTATGCAAGTGCATTTTCTGCTGTCCATTGCATGAGGAATATTTCCTTGCAAGGATATCCTTCTCTTACGTTATATATCAAAAACTGAAAGCTGACTAAAGATATATCTTAGTGGACTATTTATTTTATTTGAGGATTAGTGTATAAATGAAGATCGCACCTGGATGCAAGTAACAAAAGCAGTGTTACAGATAAATGCTGATTTAATTATTTCATAATGGAGCAGGCCAACTGGTGACTTCAGGGGCCCCAGTGTTGTCTGTGTTTTCACCCTTAGATGCTGTCCTAAGACATACTTAGCACTTTTAGCTTTTGTCATGTTTCTTATCACAGGGCAGCTGCTGTCCTTTCAAGGGCAAAGTGGAAAGAAGAGAGAAAACTGTTGAGTACTGCCAAATGCCTCTGTTTTCCTGTAGGGGAAACAAGAGCTTTCCAGAAATTTCTCTTTAAAGATCCCATTCACCCTCTCTTACAAAAATTGGATCTTGTTTGCAAAAGGAATTTTTGTTCAGTTGCCAAACCCAGCTCCATGCCCAGTTCTTGAGGAAGATGTGGCAGATAAGCAGCGTAAGCAGTCACCCCATGAGAGCTGTCTTCTCAGTAAGTAAGGTTTCCACTGAGCCTATGACTTATTTTGTAAAGGGTTCTGTCATCACTAAAAGCTTGATTCTTCAACCCCCCAGTGATAGCATGGGTTCTAGAATATTGGCATTCCTCATTGGACAGTCTGATCCTTTTCTGCATCCATCTTGGGCTGACAGGACACATATGGTAGAGCAGATGACACCTGAGAGTGAGAGGGACCAAGCTTGTTGCTTATAACTCTAGGGTCATCATTCATGGTGTAGAAGGGAGACAGGCAGAGAAAGACATCTTCTGAACTCCCAGATTCAGCCAGACCTGCATGCCACAGAATCAGCAAATGCCCATTTTCTTAACCTATTTTGACTGGAAACTTTATCATTCATAGCTAAGTCATGAATACAGAATTTGAAAATATAGGCATGATAATTGATTGTGTAGAAGTCTCATACTAATCTATTTCTGTGTCCAATGGTAGGGGAATTTATTTTCACCCAAAGCACTAAAGAGTCAATTAGCAGAAAAGGGTGGCAGCCAGAGACAAAGAAGCAAATGTGTTTATGTATCCAGTTTCATTTCCCTTTGTCACTGAAGCTTCAGCTAAATTCACAAATTACTTTTCCTCCCAAGACTTTGGGACTTACGTTGAAGTCCAGGAAGTGGACACCTCTCTGAAAATTAATCTCCAAGTGACATTTTGTCATGGCTAATTCACTAAAATCCAATTTGACAAAAATACTATAATATTTTAATTTAAACTCAAAATTGCATTATGTAAGCACCATTGTCTAAGATATTTCATATAAGAAATCAAGATTAAGGAAAAAAGTTGTTCTCAATGCTGAGGTTTTAGTTCTGAAATGTTTGAATACTGTATTTAATAACTAACATAGAACCTATCACGTCTACTAATGTCTTGTTAAGCTTTTCAAAACTAAAATGAGCAGTGCTTGCTTCAGCTGCACACCTACTAAAACTGGAACTGTACAGAGAAGATTAGCATGGCTGTTGCACTAAGATGATATGCAAACTTGTGAAGTATTTCATATTTAAAAACTTATGAGAAAATTTGGTGTACTTGGCCAAATGATCCTGGGACGACTAGGCATCCAAAAGTGAGTGATTAGAGACACTGATGTTCTTCAAAAGCTTGCTTGGCCCTTGGAATTTGCATCACCAGATGGGCTTTGCATCCACATGACAAGGGAACCAGTACAGATGGGTGAGGACAGCACAGACAAAAGTGCACACCTTCCACATGGGCAGATGGACAGAGTGTGGCTTGCAGCTATACAGCTCATGCCTGCCTTACCAAGACTCGGGCATGAGAAGGAGTTTATTAGTTGTTATATGGCTTTGTGAACTCATTTGTAAAATGAGGATGATAAATTCATGTTATAGAATAGTAATGAAGTTCAAAATAATGAGTAGAAAAAGCCTAGTATTCTACTTGGCAATCAGAAATCAATAAAATAGACTATGATTATAATTATTATTGAGAATGTATTTCTCTAGGGTAGATTGCCCTATTGAATAGTGTCATTCTAGGTCTTCTCTAGACGTATGTTTGGAACTAATAAGTTCCCAAATTGCCCAATTTATTATCCCCCTTTCTTTTTGCTGTATATGGTATAATTTTCCACACTTTTACTCAGGACAAAAATTGAAGCATTATCCTTTCCTTCACCTCACTAAATCAGTCAATCCCCCATGTCTTGCAAGTGGTACTTTATGCTGATTTTTCTATTGTATGGTTATCACCTGTTCCAAACTGCCATTATTGTTATGACAATATTTTTTGTGTCCCCCCTCATACTCTGAAGTTCTAATCGCTAATATGGTTATTGTAGGACAAACCTTTGGGACATATTTAAGTCTATAAGCAGTCAAGAGAACACAGCCCTAATAATAATAATAAGAGACACAAGAATTCTCTTTCCTTCATGTGAGAACAGAGAGAAAAAATTGGCCAGCGGCAAGCCAGGTAGGAAAATTTAATCAGAACCCAACCATGCTGGCAATGTGACCTTGATTTCTGGCCAATAGAACTAGGAGAAGTGAGATTTTATTATTTAAGCTCATGGTCTCTGTTATTTTGTTATAGTAACTTGAGGTGATGATGGATGCTCACCTTTCCTCTAGACTATAGCTTCCCAACTGGTCTTTCCACGACCCATTCTCAATCTCTTTCAACTCCTAGTTCTCAAAGAAGCCAACTAAATTCTGTTTTTAAAATGAAGATAGGGCTAAGCTTCTCTGTGGATTATATCCTGAAAAAGCTTCTCATATAATTTTTAAAAATCTATGAGACACTTGATGAACACATGCAGCCCGTCTACAGAAAACTATATTCTTATTCCCCAAAGATGACAGAATCATTCAGAGTTACTTCAGTTCACTTTCCCTGAACTATGATGCATGTGCTTAAGTTCTTGGTCTATATCCACACTGCTGTCTGGGGTCATTCTATTTCCAAATGTAAATGCAATCAAAATGAGGTAAACACAAAGGCCAGCACTTCCACTTTACCAGTGGGTTCTGAAGGCATGCATGTCCTCAGAAAAGAGGTAGAATGGTTTGCTTCCATTTGTCAAAGCCCTAAGTTTGCTACTACATAATAGTATTCAGAGATCTATAGGCCAAAGTGCAGGCACCAACTGTATGTCCAACGGAAATTTCTTATCAGCATCTCTGTGTTTAGCATGTCAGATATACTGATGTTGGACAAATTGTTATATTTGGTTCTATACTGAATTCTTCTGAGTGAGATTCTAGAAGACACTGAAATGTTATCTCCAAGGTGAGGGACACTAGTGACAACACACACTTAGTTCAGGGTTACCTGGCTCAGTAGTTCTGTAAACATTTGTAACTGAAAGCTGTTGTTTGTGTCCAAGTTAACGAGATTTATAAAAATCATCCTTGTTGAGTAATAGCTCACATAAATTAAATATGCATGCTCTAAATTTCAGGGCAATGAATTCTGCCAAGTGCATGTGCTCATGGTATCACAACCATCATTCAGATACAGGGCGTTTCCATTCTCCCCCAGTTTCCTGTATACCCTCTTTTGCGGTCAATCCTCTTGTGCTCTGCAAAAGACCACCACATACCTGCTTTCTGTCATGAGAGATTAGTTTTACCTGTTCTAAAATTTCATTTGA